ATAGACATTTACATAACATTGTACTGAACATGAATCTACTGACTTAAAAAGGATGTCATTAAATGTGTCTTTAAAGATTTTTTAAATTTAGACTCAGATGTTGTATGTCTCAAGGGTTGGGGAAGAGAGTTCCAAACTGACGGAGCAAGGTGGGCGAACGATCTTTCGGCTAATTTTTTACCGCTGAAGTGAAAAAAGAATGACAGTGTTTATGATGTAGAAAGTAAAAAGATGTGTTTTAAGTCAGTTTTGTAAAATCGGTATTTTCTATTTCTCGCAATTTCTGTCTGTGTGTGGGGGTGGTGGGGGTGTGGATAAGGGTGGGTAAAACGGGGGGAGGGGGGGTTGTTCCAGGGTTTAAGGCCAGCAAATGAAAAAAATCACCATTTTAATGAAGTATTTTTAATAAACTGGTGTCAGTTGATGACCACACGGAGTCTGGAATTGTTGTAAAGATGGCTAGCCTAAAAGTTTGTGATTCTGTGTTAATGTTTTTGTTAAATCAGGGAGTCAGAATGGAACTGGAAGCAAACATGTCAGCGTTTCAGTGTCTTATGCTGCCCTGTTTTATGTCCCCATCAGACAGGTTTGGGGGACTAGAGTTCGATGTCTTGTCCGTCTTCGATAAGAAAAGATAGAAGATATAAGTATCACTTTATGCTCAGAAAAACGTAGTTTGTTAAGAATGAAACGTCGAATAGTGTAGCAGAGTTAGAAAAAAAGTCTTAGTGTGGATACATTGTGTAATCCCCACGCATACCAAGGACCTGCCTCCTTTTTAAAGCAAATTTTGAGAATGGAAAGGAGGCAATTTACTAAATAAATACGTATACACGCGGGCGAGTGCGGCCATACAAAAACCCACACATACACAATTATCGTATTTTACACATACAAACAGAGAAGAGAAGAGAAGAGAGAGAGAGAGAGAGAGAGAGAGAGAGAGAGAGAGAGAGAGAGAGAGAGAGAGAGAGAGAGAGAGAGAGAGAGAGAGAGAAGAAAGTGTTGGGGTTGGGAATATCAGGTCTGTTACGAGCGTATATTATTCAAATGCTTTCACAACGTGATTTTTAACCTTCCTGAAAATCTCATTTAGTGTACACTCTGTCGTTGTATGAATTCTGTGATTTTAGCTCTGGCTTACCGCTGTGCAGCCCTATTCTCATGAGGAACTTGTGCTGTGGTCTGTGGTGCACCTTCAAATCCTCAGAACAGCTCATGATGTGCAACGCCATCTTGGCGATCTCACAAGCGTGGTTCTCTACCTTCAAGGGCACACCGCTGCACACTACATAGGCGTCACCGATGGTTTCAACCTGGTGAGGTTAAAAAAAGAACGTAAATCCGAATATAAGGTTCTGAATCGTAACAACCTGATATAAATAACTCGACACTGAGCTAAAAAAAAATTTAATCTGCAGAATGTGCTGATACATAGTGTCAATTACTTCAAAAAACAATCAACGACCTTAGCCTTCTCAAACAGAAGACATGAGCTCAATTTCAGTGGCTGGATGTTTTCTTATCGAGTACTATTGTCTGTATCCTGGATTGTTATCTTCCTGACGGGACTGAATTAGCTTGAATCCTAAATCATCGCTATTGTATCGATGGGGACCTGATACACTTATAATTTGCTGTAGAATCAAGGATGTGTATTATGGTGAAGTTTCGAAGGAAAGTCAAGAATTTTATAGATGACACTTAGGCAAGGAACAGCAAAGGCTATAGGAACAGGAGAAAGAGCTAGAATTTGTAGATATACATTTATAAACATTTATGATAGAAGTAATATGGGATTACCTTGTATACTAGGTACTTTTCAATCACAGTATCAAACTTGTAGTAGACATCGTTCAAAAAGTTTACGATCTGAAAAAGAATAAAAACAATTACTCAGCCTCAGCCATGTTTATGTACTTCCTATGCTGCTGCTGCAGCTGCTGCTGCTGTTGCTGCTGATAATGGTGATGATGATGATGATGATGATGATGATGATGATGATGATGATGATGATGATGATGAGGATGAGGAGGATGAGGAGGAGGAGGAGGAGGAGG